ATAGTTAATGACTGTACAAATTAATTTTGTCTAACTAAATGTATAAAAATCCATTAAAACTAAACAAAATAAGACTGACTAGACCAAAACATTGAAAGTGATTTAGGTTTGACAGCTAGGTGATCTGGTTAAGCGAGGTCAAACATTGGCCCACCTTGCGGTCAAATCAAAACTCGAGTTTGTTTCAATCTTTGGTCAGATCAAGATTTTCCATAACTTTGAAATATACACCTGATATTTTCCAATCTTTGTATGGACTATTTTAACTTAAACCGGCGTTTCTATCACCTTATTTATTGACAATATTTTCTTAACTAGCTATGTTCAATTAACTTAATATATTAAAGCCTAACATTGGAGTTATTATTCATTAGTGGCCCTCAAACTCCTCCAAGTGGAAGTTGGAAAGTTTCAAGTCCTTCTTTTACCCCACTCTCTTTTTCTATAACCTATGTGTTCATCTATTGTCCATCGGATCTATATCTATTGTCCATTAAACTCTATTTTCAGGACCAGACCGGAGGCGAAACCGAAAATGTTAGTGGTTTGCGGGTCAGTGGTTAATCGTTATAAAATCGTTGGTTAACTGTTGATAGAACCGTTCAAAATATTTAACATATAGGACTTGTACATTACGCTAATTTAAGAATGAAGTTATCATTGACTCTAAATATATTACGCTAATTTAAGAATGAAGTTATCGTTGACCATAAATATATTCACTTGTTTCTACGGAGAAGGATTTGGTTTAGTGGTAATACCACTAGTCTAGAAGCTGGAGGTCTCAATTTGTTCAAATCATTTAAATAGTACCATAATCACACAAAAAATAAAACTTATATCACTCTGAAAAAAATATTCTTTCAACCATGCCAACTCATGGGATAATAAAAGCACGTGGTTCTGTCATCGGAAGATGAACTAGAAACTGCCTGATGTTTCTTCATTTTTAAATGGCAAAATTCATCTGTGTAGCCAAAAATTTTATGTTTGTGACAATAATAATCATTTTTGGCGAAATACCAAATATAGCCAGAATTTTGAAAGTTTCACGACAAATTTAGTCATTTCCGTTACATATTTTAACGGCGTCAGTGATACCGTCAGTTATGTTAACTTTAAGTTGATTGGGATGCCAACTCACCACATACGTTAGGGACAGGCCATCATATGATTGACATGTCATTTTGAATTATAAAAAAATTATTTTAAAATTAAAATATTTTGTTAACTCTTTTGATGATTTTCTCCATCCTCTCTCTCCAAGGGTGTCTCTTTCACCCTCCAAACGCCAAATGCAAAACCACCATAACCAAGAGCTCCATGGAGAAACCCATAATGCCATTGGCAAAAACCAGCTCTTCCCCTCATCTTCTGCCGCCGTCAAGCCTTCCTCGTCCAGATCCTCACTATTTTGTTACCAAATTCGCCGCCGCCGCCACTGCTGCGATTTCCCTCTCTGTCTCTCTTTATGTCCTTCTCCCATCCCATCTCCTCTGCTTCTTTGGCCTCGGCTTTGGGAATATAATCAAGCAGGAGTTGAAGGACGACTGCGACTGTTGCAGAGTGTTGGGGCAAATAGAAAACCCAAATTCCAGAAGAACCAAATCGAGAAGGCAGCGATGGGGATTCTTTATCGGTGGCAGAAACAGTTTCGTTTACAGCCGAAGATTGATAGAGGAAGTGGTGGGAGATGTTTCTCCTGGAGCTGGCGGAGGTGAGAATGGAATTGGGATGTCTATTGTTGCCTCGTTCATATCGTCTGAACTGTAGGCGGCAAGAGTAAAATCAATCCCCACCTAGAACGGCCCCCTTCTCCGGCAACGACAACTTGTCCCCGCTTCTCCGCCTCCTCTTAATCGCCACCATGAAACAGAGTAGCGGTAGCAACGAGTATCCTTTTAGCGCTTGTCCAATTCCGATTTTCCCTTTACTGTTCAGAAATTAAAAAAAAACGAATAAATTGGGGGAAAGGCAGAGTGGGCAAGGCAGAATTGGGGAAAGGCAGACCTTTTGGGAGAGCGGGATTCTAGAACTGGAAGGGATGTCGATCAGAATAGATGGTAGGGGAAAATTGTGCAAAATTAAAAAAAAATTCATGATTTTCGGATTGTGGAGCACAAAGTTATGATCGTTCAACGTTTGACGAAATCGAAAAAAGGCTCGTTCTGGGTAGCAAACGACGTTTGCGGCTTGCAAGATCTCGAAAAATTATGCGGAATCAAAAAAAATTTCACCACGATCGGATAACCGAGCACAAAGTTACGTTTTTTTAAAAATTCGACGCAGGTCAGGCCTTCACCGCGGCCTTTGAATGCGGTGAAGCTATCACCGTTTTTGTCTACAGAGGTGATGCAATCACCGTTTTTCTCTAACGCGGTGAAGCAATCACCGCCTTAGTCTGACGCGGTGAAGGCCCAAACATGCGTAGATTGGGAATTTTTCTCATAACATGTGTATTTTGAGAATTTTTTTTTAAAAACATGTGTACAGTGGGATTTTTTCCGATGGTAGGTTAGGTGGAGAGAAGTTTATTTGTTTTATTTATCTATTTATTTGTTTCATAAATCAGGAGAAATTTGTAAATTTTAATCATTTTTTCTATTTAATTTTTTAATTAAATCCACGTGGGAAATATGTACAGGACAAAAGTTATCAAATCGGACGATCCGTTAGTCCAGTCAGCACGGTAACTCACACAGTCAAAAAATTGAACGGAAGTGGCTATTTTTGGTATTTTGCCAAAAGTGGCTATATTTGGCCAAACCGTCAAAGTTTTGGCTACACAGGTGTATTTTTCCTTTTCAAAATAATACATAAGTTTTTAACGGTCAGACGTTGGAGTTGACTGCCATCTAAGACAGATTTAACGAACTTAGATGGCGAGTGGCCAAAGATGACATAAATGTATAGTATCGGTGGCTAAATTAAAAGAAAAGTAATTCGGACGACTAACCTGTTAGATAATATATGTGATCAAACTTGCAATTGACCCGTTTTCTATGTATTGGAAAGATTTGGAAGATTTGTGGGCTTGGATGTAAATGACGGTTCGTCTTTTGGTGAAGATTTGGGAGATTTGTGGGGAAATGAGGGTGGAGACGGGTTGCAGAGACCTGAATGAGAATATTTTAATTTTGAAAACATTTCCTTTTAAGATGAAGGTTATAGCTAGTGAAAGTGCTATAGTTAATAAGGGGTTTAACTTGTAACTTTGTAAGGTTCTATGTAGTTAAGATATTTAATCCATGCATAAATTTAAAAAAAAAAGACAATATTTGTAGAATTTATCCGATTTTCAAAAGCTATGTTGCCCCGGTCAAAATTCCTACCATGGTTGGAATTATTTTGCTAAAATTTATTTTTGACTTGTTTATCGGTTTATTTCATATCGTTATTGAAAATTCTTGGTCATGCGGTTTTGCTAGGTCAGGCCAAAACCGCACCTAGGCCATGCTGTTTCTATTAGGTCAGACATGAAACCGCATGGCCAAGATGTGGTTTTGGCCCAGGATCTTAAACTGCACTTTGGGTGTGCGTTTTATAAATAAAACGCATCTTCAGGGTTATAAACCGCACCTTGGAGGTGCGGTTTTAAAAAAATGGTGCTATTTTTGTAAATTTTATGGGCTGGGTATTATTTTTGTAATTTTTTTTAAAGATGCTATTTCTGGAAAAATTCCCTAAGCTTAGGGCTCTTAACGAAGTTAAAAATATAGCACATATAGAAAACCTACCTAATCAAATATTACATAATGTAAAACCTAAGTCATCTTTAAAAAAAGTAGTTGTTTCAACCATGTCAACTCATGGGGTAATAAAAGCAAGTGAATCTACCATCTGAAGATGAATTGGAAACTGTGTGATGTTTCTTCATTTTTAAATGATACATAAGGTTTTTAACGGTCAAACGTTGGAGTTGACTGCCACCTACGACAGATTTAACGGGCTTAATTAGACGGTGAATGACAAAAAATGACACAATCAGCAGCAGCTTGTACTTGCAAATTCTCATACATGTACACAAAGACTCTAAACAGAGCATAGCTTTATAAGTCACGAATCAATTCCTTTCATCCATAACTCTACTGATTCTGCATGATCCCGATCTCTCTAAAGATAGCATTCTTCTCTTCGATATAATAATAAACCAGCCCTCACCAACCAACTGTTCAATCAACTCCCTTCGCAATAACCAGCAACAGAAGGGAAAATCATCTGCAAATCTTTCAGCCAGGCCTGAATTTTTTTTAATTAATTAAAATAAATAAATTACAAATATATGTTGATGTAATATAATGGAAAGATTCCTCTTCTGGCACAAGTCACAACTCTTCAGTCTTCCCTGCACACTTGTTAATATTTTTAGACATTTATTTGATTCTATAATATTTGGTAGGTAGGTTTCCTATACGTGCTATATGTAATATTATGGAAAGATTCCTCTTCTGGCACAAGTCACAACCCTTCAGTCTTCCCTGCACACTTGTTAATATTTTTACTGAATCGCTAAATGTTGCCCTAAGAATTGCTAAACATCGCCCTAACTAAAATATAAAATTACCTACATGCCCTTAAGCAAACACTCAAAACAAACAAGCCCTTATTTCAAATTCAAATTCATTCTCCCTCCCCCCTCAACTCCTCTCTCACCCTTTGTCAAAAAAAAAAAAAAAACTCTCTGCAACAAATCCCGCCGGCCGCCGCCTGGCCCGCCGACCCCCGACGCCGGCCGCCGCCTGCCGCCGCTGTTCCGCCGACCCCCGCCGCCCACAGCCCGCCTCCGGCCGACCCCCACCGCCCACAGCCCGCCAGCAAGCCGCCTCCGGCCGCCCCCCCCACCGCCCACAGCCCGCCAGCAAGCCGCCTCCCGCGCGCCGCCCACCGCCGCCAGCGCGCGCCGCCCCGCCGCCCGCCCACCGCCCGCAAGCCGCCTCCGGAGAAGAAGAAGTCTCCTTGCCCGCCGGAGAAGAAGAAGTCGCGCCCCTTACCTGTCTCGCGCTCGCCGCCGCCGGAGAAGAAGAAGGTGTCGCGCGCTCGTGTTCGTCGGAGAAGAAGAAGGTAAAAAAAAAAAAAAACCGTGCCGACCGCAGTCAAACCGCGGTCAGACCGACGGTCAACCGCGGTCAAAGCGCGGTTCAACCAGCGGCTGACCGCGGTCAAAGGGCGGTTGACCGATGGTCAAACCACGCTTTGACCGCGGTCAGCCGCTGGTTGAACCGCGCGTTGACCGCGGTTGACCGTCGGTCTGACCGCGGTTTGACCGCGGTTCGGGCCTTTTTTTTTAAATTCTGTTTTTAAATTCTGTGTTTTATTATTCGTTAAATAAATGTTAATAATAATAAAAAAAATTAAAAAATATACATAATAAAAGAATTTAGTTATATTATTGATAAATACTAATTTAGTTATAATGATAATTAATAATAACGTATTCGATAAATGTTAATTTAGTTATAATATTAATTTAGTTATATAATATAAAAAAATTTAAAATCGTATTCGATAATTGTTAATTAAAGATAACAAATTTAAAGAACATTATAAAAAAATTAAAAATGTGTTTTTATCATTTTAATAATCAAAATTTCAAAGTAATTCGTTTATCTACTTAATTATTAATAATTTTACCTTGATTAAAAAGTAAATAATTATTACATAGAACGTAACATAAATGTTAAAACTATTAGTTTTATAATTTTAATTATGAAAATCTTAAATTAATTACTTTATGTACTCCATTATTAATAATTCAAACTTTTTTTTGAAGATGTCTGGACATGGAATGGGTAAACCGGATATGATTAAGGCGAGAAATAAGGAGAGAATGGAGGGTCGTGCTTGTAGACTTACGGCGACTGGTAGGAAGGAAAATGAAGAAAAAAATCCACCTAAGGTTAGAAGGAAGAAGAAGGCGGATGTAGTGCGTCCTGACGGCCACCCTACTGTGGGGCAGTTGTCTCTTAGTCGAGGCACTACCAGTACTCCTACACCAGATACCGCACCGGTATGGCAGGCTAATTGGAGTGATTCCATTGACGAGGATGATGATGATGACGGTGATGCTGAGGTTGGGAATGCCCCAGATGCTGGTGCTGCTGCTGGTGATGCTGCTGTTGATGATGCTGTTGATGGTGCTGGTGATGCTGAGGCTGGGGATGCCCCACCTCAAGCTGATTTAGGCGTGGGGAAGACGGCACGGGTCGGGGTATCTTCTACTGCCTCCTCCCACTTCCGTGGGCCCGATGGACGCTATGCGTCCAGACCTAGTAGCGAGGATGGCGGAGATGGAAATAGGAAGAGGAAGACCACGAGGAAAGATATGTCGTGGTTTCTTACAGCCGAGTCTCCGATGTGTTCAGGTGGACCAGTGATTCCCGATGTGATCCCTAGCTTTGGAGGTCACATTGGCTTGGTACTGTGGAATTCCCCTGAGCAGGACCGTGGAGTGTTGGACGGCTTCCATAGGCCGAGAGCTGTAGAGACTTTGAGGCGATATAAGTGGAGTGCAGAGGGTTCCAAGGAGATGGTTGAAGCCACATGATTGTCTCACTTGACGGGGTGCATGATGCAGCATTTAGACATGGCTCTACTGTCGGCATTTGTGGAGAGGTGGCAGCCGGGCACAAACACCTTCCACATGCCGTTTGGAGAGATTTCGATCCTTCTACACGATGTGCATCACATTCTTCGGATACCGGTTGACGGAGAGCTGATGGGAGATGAGGCGTCGCAGGATACTCTTAAGTCAGACATGGGTGGTCTAGTTCGACTTTCGGTGGATGCTCAGGTTGGTGGTAAGTGGAAGTCGAAGTGGTACGATAATGGTGCTATGCATGCAGAGGGATTGTTGGTGCGTGGGGGAGAGCTGAAGATTAAGGAGATGGAGGTGCAGTGTTACCTGTTTGTGTTGCTGGGATCCACGCTTTTTGTGGATAAGAGTCGTGATCGCCTTCGTCCTGCGATCAACTTGTTTCTGAAGGATCATCGACGATTGGCTGATTACGCTTGGGGAGCTGGTGCACTAGCCTATCTCTACAGACAGTTGGGAGTGGCCACACGAGCGGGTAGTAAGGGTCTTGTCGCCTCTATCAAGAACCTCCTGTACTAGACCTTGGAACACACCACGGTGGTAATCACTATGGTCATCCCACTCCGGCCGAGTAGGAGGTTCACGATAGTTGATAACGGTCCAGAATGGCAACACATCATACAAGGCGAAATCCCGATTTTCACGTCGTGCTAACTGAATGGAACATCTACATGGGAGACCATAGGTAGGAAGAAACGTACATGTACAAGGTTCCCCTTCCACTGCTACCTCGAACAACATCAACCTCAGAGCTTCTAGAGTGACTTTCGTATTCAACTCTCGAAATGGTTTTCCATCCGCTCGGAGCAGCTTCTTTTGTCGGGAATCCTCCAGCAGCTTCCTGATTTGAAGGTGTTGAGCCTCAATGTAATCATCGTTCTTCTTGTATACCTACAAACAATGAAGAACAATTAGGAGACTACTAAAACTTATGTGTGTATCAATAAAGATTTATTAGATTACTAACCGTGTCGACTGCGCCAGTAGATGATTGAAGCCACTTCTTGAAGGAGGAATGGGCAGCTTCAACCCTATTAGAGCTTGTGTTACCCAAATGCCGCAGTTGATTGGTATAACATTTAGCCCACATGTGTCTAACTGGTAACCACTCAGCTGTCATATACCCCCAAAGACGTCGGTACTGTACTCCCCAGCTACGTCTGAAATTCTCTAAGGCAGTATCCATGTCTTCCACTGTCAATGCATATACAGCACGTTGCCAAGACGCCATGATCTGCTCCACTGTCGGTTTGGCTGCATCTATACCACAATGAGTCGTCCTTCGCACCTCCGTTAGACACTTTGCTCTCACATTCCTATCCATATGCCAAAGACATAAAATATGAGTCGATGATGGAAACATTACCCCCACGGTCTCAACCAATCCTCCTGCCTTGTCACTGACAAACACATCTGGAACAATGGGGCCAAGAAGATGTTGCAAATGCGTCAGAAGCCACTGGTACGACTCCTTCGTCTCGTCGTACACTATTGCAGATGCAATGACAAAGTTCAATCCCACTGGTGTCATGCCGACAATCTCAACCCAAGGCATATCATACTTGTTGGTCTTGTATGTTGCATCTATCACGATCACATGGTGCCAAGCTCGCAACATCAATATTGACTCGGGGTGGGCTAGGAACAAGTGTGTAAGCACGTTACGATCGTCCATATACTGCACATAGTAACCCTTCTCCTGCGCCATGTGGAAAGTATACTGTAAGGCTGTCATCTGACCAAGCTCTTCTTTCCTTATCTTGTGACACTCGTTATAAATCTGCTTTCTGTTGTGTGTTCCATTTGCACCTTTTCTGTCATTCACTGCCTTGTGGATATTCCTTGGTGGGACACCGGCTGATCTCAGCTCTCTGATGTATTGCTTGTCCTCTGTAGTCAAAACATTCCTTCCCTTTGATCCCTCCGGAAATAGCTCCAACTGATGATTGTGGAAACCCAAATTAGCACCAGGATTCTTTGTATTTGCCACCCCTAGGATCAACCAATATCCATCACCTGACCGCTCAAGCTTGATCTTAAACTCGCACCCCAACTTTTCAGTAGATGTAAGAGGCCTCGTTTCCTTACTCGGATCAGGTTCCTTCGACTTCTTCTTCCTACCATGAGTGCAATGTAAGTAATGTCGCCAAGTACCTTCATTCGTATTTTTTTTGTTCGATGCCCTCACCAAATAAAACCCAAAACCCTTTGCAATCTCAATGGCTGCTTCATATGCTTGCAACTCCGTAGTGTATTTCACGCCATCAATGAAATCCGAGGTGTAATCATGGTCATCCGGATTGTAACTTCCAATATCCTGCAATGTTATCAGTATTAAAATTAATAATCATCATAACTTCATATGCGAATCTATTATTTATGCAATAAATTTAATCTTAATTTGTAATGCAAAATCTAATCTTAATTTTCTAGATTAACACCAAATTAAATCTAATCTTAATTTAAGGCCAAATCTAATCTTAATTTCTAATGCTAAATCCTTCAATTCCAAAAATCTAATCAAAACCCAATAAATCTAATAAATTATATTAATCTTAATTTGTAATGCAAAATCTAATCTTAATTTTCTAGATTAACACCAAATTAAATCTAATCTTAATTTAAGGCCAAATCTAATCTTAATTTCTAATGCTAAATCCTTCAATTCCAAAAATCTAATCTTAATTTCTAATGCTAAATCCTTCAATTCCAAAAATAATTATGCAAATAAATCTAATAAATTATATAAATCAAAACCCAACAAATTATTTCATGGAACAATCATAAATCATATAAAAAAAAAATTATTCAACGGAAAAAAAAAAAAACCAAAAAATGGCCAACCGCAAGTGACCTGCGGTTTGACCATGGTCGGACCGCAAATCACCTGCGGTTGAGCCATTGGTGGACCGCAATTGACCTGCGGTTGGACCATGGCTGAACCGCAGGTGATTTGCGGTCCGACCATGGTCCAACCGCAGGTCAAGTGCGGTCCACCAATGGCTCAACCGCAGGTGATTTGCGGTCCGGCCATGGTCCAACCGCAGGTCACTTGCGGTTGGACCATGGTCGGACCGCAAATCACCCGCGGTTCCCATTTTCTGTGTTTTTTTTTTTTTTTTGGTTCATGTTCTTACCTTGTCGGAGTCGCTACTCATGATTCAGACGTCCTATCGACGATATCGGCTTCAAAATGACGATGAGAGATTTTTCTCTCCTTAGAGAGTGTTTTTTTAGTCCAAGTGATGTTTGTTTGAGGAAGGGAAGGTAAAGAAGCTATGGGGGTTAAAAGTGTAACTTTTATTCTTTTTAGGGCGACCTTTAGCAATTTTAAGGGCGACCTTTAGCAACTCCCTTTTACACATTTATTTGATTCAATAATATTTGGTAGGTAGGTTTTCTGTATGTGCTATATGTTTAACTTCGTTAAGAGCCCTCAGCTTAGCTACAGCCTATAAATAGTAAGCCACCACAGCGAGTTAGTAGCACACCAATCTGCAAGCAAGCCCCTGAAATAATTAAGCCCACAAACTCAGAGAGAGAGATGGCGGCGGCGGCGAATGTCGTAGCAGGCGGAGAAGTTCGGAGGAAGAGGGTGGAGTTTCACCCTTCCGTCTGGAACGATTTCTTCGCCCGCCCCGATAATCATTCTCCGGTAACCTTTCAGTGAAAATTACTGTTGAAAATGAGAAAACAGAGTATCATATATGGACTTATCACGGTTCGTTTATAATTATAGCTAGGTTACTGAGAAATTTAATTGTTTGCAGGTGATAAGTGGATGGAGGGAAGACGCTGAGCAATTGAAGGAGGAAGTTAGGGAGATGCTGAAAGGAGCTGCTGTTGCTGCTACGGAGAGGAATAAGACGAACTTGGAGATGATCGACGCCGTGCAGAGGCTGGGCATCGATTACCATTTCGAACACGAAATCGAAGCAGCTTTGCTTCAGATCTCCGGCGATGGCGCCGTCGACGATGATACAGATGACGACTTGTACACTGTTTCCCTCCGATTCCGGCTCCTCAGGCAACAGGGCTACCACATTAACCCCACCCGTGAGTTATCACTTAATTAATTTAATATCTCCTTCCGCTCTCGAATCCTAATTCGCAATCGTATTAGTTATCGTATTGGACAAGTTAGCGTAACAGTACAACATCTACTATTGAATTAACCATCTTTCAATAACACGAATTATTAGGATGAATCGACTCTCTCCGCGTTGATTAATAATGTTTTCTTGTTGTGTTTTTGCCACGAAGTTGTGTTGAGAAAATTCACAGACGAGAAGGGAAGTTTCAAACAAGATCTCAAAAACGATGTCAGAGGGTTGCTGAGCTTGTACGAAGCTGCTTACTACAGAATAAATGGCGAACAAATACTGGATGAAGCTCTGGAGTTTGCCAGGACTCACCTTGAGCCCATTAGCCAATTGGACTCTCCTTTGGGTAACCAAGTGAAGCACTCCTTAAAGTGGCCCATTCTCAAGGGTTTGCCAATAAGGGAGTCCAAGCATTTCATGTCCATCTACCAGCAAGACCAGACCCACAATGAAGCCATTCTAAAGCTAGGCAAGCTGGACTTCAACTTGGTTCAGAAGCTGCACCAACATGAACTAATGATTCTTACTAAGTAATGAACCAAAATTATTTCCCTCTTGTCTTGGATTGATAAGTTTATTTTAGCTAATTAAACACTAAATTGAGGTTCCTTTTTTTCTTTGAAAAGGTGGTGGATGGATTTGGATACCGAAACTACGCTTCCATTTGCACGAGATAGAGTGATAGAGGGCTACATGTGGCCATTGGGAGGATTTCTGAAGCCCGATTACACGGTTGGAAGAATCTTTGTCACCAAAATCACTCAGCTTATCGCCGTCCTGGATGATATCTTTGATGTCCATGGTACCTTAGACGAGTTGGAGTGTGTCGTCAAAGTGATCGAGAGGTAACAATCAGCGATTTAACCAAATTTTCTCCAAAATACCAACGAAGTTGAATGCTGACTAATACTTCTGATTAGGTGGGAGATCAATGATGAGGACGACAAGGTTCCAGACTACTTCGAGTTCTGGTTCAAGACATTGCTTGGCGTGTTTGCTGAAATAGAGGCTCATGTGTCCAGTGAAGGGAGGTTGTTCTGTATGGACTACGTCAGAGAAGCTGTAAGTACTGCTCATCAATCGACGATCATTTCCCCATTTGAATACAAAGAGAAGATTAGGTCTAACGATTCCAAAATCTCCGAGTAAACAGGTGAAACAGATAGTGAGAGCGTTCATAAAGGAAGCAAGGTGGTACGGCGCAGGCTATGTGGCAACAATGGAGGAAAATCTACCAAATGGTTATACTAGTATCGGCTATCCCATGGCCGTTACCGCTAGCTTTTGTGGGATGGGAGAAGTAGCTTCGGAAGAGATCTTCAAGTGGTTGTCCAGCCAGCCGAAGATCCTCGTCGCCGGCTCTACCATTGCTCGACTCATGGATGACATTGTCTCCCACGAGGTATATGGTATTACTTATGGCTTATGCATTCATGGTTGAGCTAACTATGACAGTATCATAATCACTTTTTTATGACGTACCATGGCAGTTTGAGCAAGAGAGAGGACATGTGGCTTCGTCCGTCGAGTGTTACATAAAACAGTATGGTGTGTCCAAGGATGAGGCACACTTGGAGTTGAACAAGTTGGTAGAGAAACTGTGGAAAGACATGAACGAAGAACTGTTGCAGCCTCTAGAGGCTCCGATGCCGATTCTGAAGACAATATTCAACATGGTACGGGTCATGGACTTGTTGTACAAGGACAAGGACACTTACACGGATTCCAAGACCGTCATGAAAGAGTTACTCACTTACATCTTGGTGGATCCCGTGGCTCTGTGAAGTAGTTGTGTGTTTGCCTGCTATCAATGTTCTGTTTGATTTCTGGTTGGACTTTGGTCGACTACAATAAACTAGAGGACGCCCACTATACTGTGTAGTGGATTGAGCCTAGGCGTGTGTGACCGTTTGATTATTTTCTTATGTTGTGGCTGTTGGTGATGAAATATATATGCATCTAATTTCTGTAGTTCATATACTAATGATAATTAAATAATTTATGTTCAAAACATATGCATGTTGGACACACTTGAACGGGGCTAACA